AAAACGACGATCTTGAAGATGATCTCCAAGAGGATGACAACGAGTTAGATAATGTTGAGACAAATGGGAATTCTATAATTAATCAGCTTTTTGCAGCGGCAGCAGTGAGCTTTGAGAAAAAAGGGCGTCCAGCTATTTATACTGGTGATTTGAAACAGACACAGCAAAGGAAAAATAAAAAATTAAGGGAAGTGGCAGCAGGAAGTTCAAAAATTTCACAATTCTTCCATACTACTAGCGAAGACGTCGGAAGTGGTAATAGTACTGAATCAGAGTTGACCGAAGACGAAAATATATGCAAGACGATTAAATTCGTGAATAGAGTAATGCTTGATAAAATGCTTTCTAAAACTCAAATTGCTCGTTATATGGCAGTTCTTTATTTTTTCCAATTATGGCTTAACAACAAAAAGAAAATTGAGGCAGCGAAAATGGTTTCAAAGGTAGTCAATGGTGGGCTATGGCTTGCGAAATGTGTAAGAAAGTGGGCAAATATCTGCATGAAAGAGGAATTAATCCAGCCGACCGCTCAAGAAAGGTTTCTCTCCAAAAGCCTACTTCATGATAAGCTGGTTTCTCTCCAATTAGCTACTTATCTACATGTTCAGAAGTTCAAGGTGGATCCAATAATGGTCAAGAAATATTTCGAGCAGCACATTCTTCCCCAGTTGAATGTTGAATCTGTCCAACATATCTCGATCCGAACCGCTTGTTGATGGATGCATAAACTTGGTTTTCAGTATAAACGTCTTCAAAAAGGTGTCTACGTAGATGGACATGAATGGCCTGATATCATTGCCTATCATCAAATTTTTCTTCAAGAGGTTGCTGAACTCGATTGACTTATGTCCAAGTGGCTTGACGAAGATTGCAAGATAAGAACTTTCCCGCATTTGAATGATAATGAGAAAGAGCACGTATAGGTAACTCATGATGAATCAACCTTCCATACTTATGATGGGCCACATGTTGTGTGGGGTCCTGAAGGAGAACAGCCATTGCGAAAAAAAGGATTGGGTCTTGATGTGCACGTGAGTGATTTTTTAACAGAAACAATAGGACTACTTAAAGATGAACAGGAAGAGGCACGTATAACGATGATACTTGGTGCTAACCGAGACGGATTTTGGGACTCCAGAAAACTCCTTGAACAAGTTATACAGGTGATAAATATCTTTGAATGGACACATCTGAGGAATGTGGGTATATTTGCCTTCGATAATGCTACTTCTCATATGGCTTTCGCTGAAGACGCTCTTGTAGTTTCGAAAATGAATCTTAGTCCAGAAGGATCAGTTCCAAAAATGCGAGATATGACATGGAGTGGCAGCTATCAATCAATGGTCATTGAAGAAGATTACTTCATTTATAACAAGAAGACAAAATCCAATGTTAACTTACACGGTCAGCCTAAAGGAATCCAGTGGATTCTCCGTGAAAGAGGATTGTGACAAGAGAGAATGGCGCTAGAGTGCACTTTGTGCAAGAGAAAAGAGGCAGATCCTAATGTTATTGATTGTTGTGCACGTCATTTAATGGCTAATCAGCCAGATTTTCTTGCGCAATGTGGTCAGATTCAACAAGAAATTGAATCTCGTGAACATAAGGTAATTTTGTTGTCTTTAGTTATTCTTTCCTGACTAGCCCGATCTTGACAATATTGTCTGTTCTTAGATTATATTCTACCCCAAGTTTCACTCTGAATTTAACTATATTGAGATGTACTGGGAGGCGGCCAAGAAGTATACTCGATCTTATTGCGAGTACTCATCGTCAAAAATCAGAGAAACGGTCTCTCAAGCATTTGATTCCATTCCCGTGGAGAGAATTCGTTCTTTTGCTAGGCTGTCATTTAGATGGATGGATACTTATCATCACGGTTTGACTGGAAAAGCAGCGGAATATGTGGTCAGGAAGCATAAGAGACATAGATCAATCAACGAAGAGATTATGAATCAGGTTAATGAGTTATTAAATTGATGAAGAGAAGCGGGTATATATTTTGCTGTATCTGATCAATAAATGCATTATGATGGTGGATATTTTTATTTTTTGGTGTGGTTATTCTTATTTTGTTACGAGAGATATTTTTTACTTGCTTTGTCTATATATAGACTAGCAGGTATTAATTAAATAGCGTGACAATTTAACTTCTGCTAGTCTTATTATAGAGATTAGCATTGATTTATCATTGGTTGCATGATTGATTACATCACTATATAATGCTAGGGTTAGGGTTAAAATTTGGCATTTCATATAATAAATTGGATATCTTATGCTGTCCCGCACTGTAGTTATAATATTTAAAATATTATTTTTTTAAAAAAATAATTTTATTTAGTAAAATAATACTTTATTATTAACTTAAAGTATAATAGTATTATAGTAAATTGATAAATAAATTTTTATTTAAATTTATCTTAAAAATATAGAGTTAGAAGAAACTGAAATAATTAAAGAACAAAGAGAGAAAAATTAGATTATACTTTTAATAATAATAAAGATTTCTAAGATCTATGTCAATATCTATGGATATTATCTTTATAAAAAGTAAAATAAATAAAAAAATAAATAAATAAATCAAGAAAATTATAAAGATAAGTTAGTAAAGCTATTAATAATTAATATAATTCAAGATTTGAAGTGATTAAATAATAAAACTACTATTAATTCAAGAAGATTATAATTAAAAAAAAATAAAAACTAAAGTATAAAATAATTAAATAAAAAGAATATAACTTATTTATAGTAAAGATCTTCTACTCTTAATATAAAATAAATAAAATAAAAAGTATAACTTATTTATAATAAAGATCTTCTACTCTCAAAATAATATCAAAAATTAAAAATTAATATAACATTATAATACAAATCAAAAATTAACTTTGTATAATCAAAGAAATAAAACTGAATAAAAGAAAGAATACTAGTATAATTAGAAAAGAAATCTTATAAAAAAATTACTATTATTATGATAATAAGTTTTTTAATTATATTTTTTAAATAATTAATCCAAAACTATTTATTTCAAGTTGGAATAGCAGATTCTTTTATATATTTTTTGAATATATAAATTATTATAATATTATTAGCTAATACTATCTAAATATATATATTATTATTAAAGTACTAATAATTTAAATATTAATATTTTAAAAATATAAATATTAAAGAATGTTGAAAAATATGAAAATATATTAAAAAATATTGAAGAATATTGAAGAATATTTAAAATATCAATATTAAAAGATGTTTGAAATATTAATATTAAAAGATGTGAAAGAATATTGAAAAATATCAAAAAACATTAAAAGATGTCAAAAGATATTTCATTATTTCACTAACAAATTTAAAAAGAATCTTTAAATATACTATTATAATAATTATATAAATTATATATAATAGATAAATTAAAAATATAGATCTCAAATAAAGGGATAATATATATTATCTAAAAATAGAAATAAACTATAAAGAGTAAATATAATATGATAAATAAATATATAATTATAAAAAATAAGAATAATTATAGAATAAAGTATAAAATTATAGAAAAAATGATATTTTATATAATTAAAGAAAGATTATGAAATTAAGAAATTTTATATTACTATAGTAATAATAAAATAATTAAAATAATATAAAAAATTAATTTAAATTATTTTTTATTTAATATAAAAAAATTATAAATATTAGTTAAAATTTGAATGATTTTTATTAAAAGCAATTATTAATTTTATATTAGTATACTAATCTTTTTATATCAGATTATAATATAATTATTTATAATTATTATAATTATTATTTTATTATAAAAAATTAAATTTTATTTATTTTTTTATATAAAATATATTTTTATATTTATATTATTTATTATATTTATTTAATATATTTATATATAATTTATAAAAAATTAATGCTTTTATAATTTATTATATTTAAAAAGCAAAATTAAATAATTATAGAAAAATATAATTATAAAAAATTCAAATTAAATAATTATAAAAAAATATAATTATAAAATATAATAGTTTAAAAAAAATTTAATTTAACTTGGATTTAAACTCAAACTTAAATAAACTTTTTATATTTTGAATTAAAATTCAAGCTAAAAAAAAATTTGAACTTAAACTAGATTTGAATTAGAAAAAAAGTTCAAATTCAAACTTAAAATTTAAATCTAATTAAAATTTAATTCAAAATTGATTTTAAGTTTTAATAATACAAATTATAATTCTTGTTTAGAATATAAATAATAATATCTTATTATATTATTCTAGTAAATTTTATAGCTTAAGAAAAGAGTTATAATTTTGCTTATAATTATTTTATATAACTATTACTTAAAATTTTGATTTTTAATTAGATAAACTGAAATATTTTGTTTGAATAATTATAATTTATGATCTTAAATACAATATATTTTCATAAATAATAATATTTTATTATAAATCATCTTAATGAATTTGTAATTCTGGATAAGATTTACAATTTTATTTATAATTATTTGTATAGTTCTTATTAAATATTTTAATTTTTAAATAAAAAAATAATTTATTTTAAATGCCAAATATATCAACTGGCATTAATTTATATCTTATATGAAACTATAACTTTACTTAGAGCCAATTTAGTGATTTGATTCAAACTTGAACCAGACTCATTTGAACTCAAACTGGACTCAAATCTAAAAAAAGTCTGGTTCAAGTCCAGTTCAATCTTTCGAATCTAGCTCAAGTCCGGTTCGATGTTTCAGCAATAAAATAATAAATGAATATTTTGCATCTTTAATGCTAAAGCTTGTTTTAAAACTGATCAAAATTTGCACGCATCACGTGCTGCAGTCCGAATTATGAAATTATGGCGATTCTGGTCGGAATTATGTTTCAAATTTGGGGGATGGGGTTAAATGATAGAGTCAAATTTACTTTTAAATCACTGATGTTGCAAAGATTAATATAACACGTAATTTTGAATTCATTACAATTGCTCATTATCAAATGTCTTTACCCAAAGAACCAACATCAATTTCATACGTCCTCGATAGATTCTCACGCTGGCCTTCTCCATATCGGAATGAAGACTCAAATAACACCACTGCAATCAATGCTGATAATAGTAACAGCATTAATGACCAATCCGGGACTCCCTGGAGGCATTATCACCAGCCGAATATTATATTAAAGCTTGAAAATATGTATCCTCCTAATATGACAGGCGGCGGCGGTGAGCCGATTCTCACGGTTTATGATGATAAGGGAAGCATTGTGGTATTTGTTGGATTACAATACATATATGTCATTGTTCATCAATTTTTTTTTGATTAACTATTGAATTGACGCGATATTAAACTTTTTTTTCGATTTACAAGGAACAATTCAACGCGTCGTACAAATACGCTTCTACCACGAAAGCCAGAATGGGGCTAAAATCTCCAGTTATAGGAATAAAATATTGCGAAACTGAGATTGATGGGATTGGTCGCACCACTGTACAATAAATTATATTTGTTTGTTTGTTTATTTATTTGATCTAGTATATTTATATAATTTATTTTTTTTAACGAATTCATTTTAATTTAACTTTTAGGAAAAATTTATAAAACTTCAAATAAGATTTCAGAATATAGAAGATTTCGAATCATGTTCGTCTATACTCGGTAGATACATTACAAAAAGAGATTCATTAATTACAACTACTTCAACGGTTGGATCAATTTCTGCTACTGCTGGTGCTGGAGCTCAAGTCATCACACAAAATCAACAGCTACAACAGCAACAGCAACAACCACCATTATCACAGAATTTGAATGAAATACAAATACATGTTCACGGTAGCAATAACAGTAATAATAATAATAATAATAATAATATTAATAATAATATTAATAATAATAGTAACCATAACAATAATAGTAATAATAATAGTAATCAAGCGCATCAATTTTCTCTTAGTTCAATTGGAATCAATCAGAGCATCCAACACCAAGAATTTTCGCAGCAGCAACAGATGCCTTTTAGTGAGAATCGACCTGTTCCAGCTATTATCAACAACAGCAGCAGCAGCAGCAGCAGCAACATCAACAACCACAACCACAACAATAATATTACCTTGAACAATAATAATAGTAATCAAGCGCCGTCACGGGCTCAACCAATTCGGGCTCCTTTAATATGTGTCCCGTCATACGAATTATCAAAACACACTAATCGTAATATAAATAATCAATTAAACAATTCACAGGAGAGTAACGTCAGTGGTAATCACCATCAAAACATTCAATTATCACTTGCAAAGCAACAAGAAACAGTATCTTTTGTTAACAATAATAATATTAACGACAATAATTTTAATGTTTACAACACTAACTCGATTCAGTCATCGAATCAATCCAATACTCTGTCGCAGCAATACCAAGATCGTGATTCTAACGTGTTGCAACCATCATCGTCACTAACATATTCATCACCATCACACCAGCAACACAGTCTAAATAGTAATCATGGTAAAGAACAAACATATCCAATAAATATTAACCGTCAGGATACCTTCGACTCATCTTCTTTGCATATGGAAGACAGGTTTACATTCAATTCTCAGCCACAGCCGCAACAAAATTATCAACTTTCATCATCGCAAACCTCTCCGCAACACACAACATCCGATAAAAATAATTTTTATCAAACACAAGATCGGAATACATATTCGGCGGTAAATTCATTAAATAATAATCGAATGCAATTAGCTACAGAAATATCAGATCTTTTTAGTAGTTCAAGTGCATCAGAAGAGAACAACAACAACAGCAATATTATCTGGCCTACAACACAATCATTTAATCAACAAGCGTCGCAACCAAATCCAAATCCGAAAAAATCAACTCCAAAGTCAACTCCGACAAATACTCCAACAAAGTCAACACGAGTGGTTTCTCAAAATGTTACGCCTCAGCTAAAACAGAAATCGATTATTTCTTATTATACCCCAAGTGTTCGATCTTCTAATGTTGTTGAAAATAGCAATGATCATCCACAACAACCCTCAGGTAGTGATTCTAATACTATGGCTACCAGCACTACAGAATCGCAGAAGAAAACGATTGATGTGGTTTCTCTCCTGTCTCCGTCGCCTCCGGCTGCCTACATCAAAAAAGAATTGAGTCTGGTGGATTTGACGATAGACGATGAAGTCTCGCCTGACGACCTTTTTAACAATAACAATCAGCAACAACCATATCAAATAAAGTTGAATGGTGAAATTCCTCGTGCTCCTACAAGTTTAAATCGAATTTCCCCACAATCTAATCTATCCTCATCATCACATCATCCTATTATTACCCAAAGAGATCCAATCTTCGCTCAGAAATCAGAAAATAAAACTAGTTGCACAACAGAGATAGGACAACATTCAACTTCATATCCTGAGAAGAGATTCTCGTCAGATCGTCAAAAATTATTTGACCAAAATCCTCGAGCTCCAGAACCACAGTCACGACTAAAAACAAAACAACCTCAAACAAATGCATTTTTTATGGATACAGAAGACGAACAACAAAATCTTCCATTTTCATCTAATGCCTCAGAGAATATGACATCATTTCCTCTTCAACAACATCCAGCAGGACAATCGAGCACTGCGCCTTCTACTTCACATGCTGCTGCAACTACCGCGGATTCAACAATTGGGTCGTTACGTAAACAAATTGCGGCAATTCAAGAACGACAACAAAGACAAATAATAACTAATAATAATCCTATCCCAACGGATGACGATCAACTTGAGGAATGGGTTGTAAATATATTAAAAGACCCTGAATTCCGTGAGCTGGTAAATCTATTTTTTTTTGTGATTTCCATAAAATTGTGAATTTATTTAAATTTTAAAAAAATAGGTCTCAAGAGTTGACAAATTATGGAAGGCGCGTTTCATAGTAGATGACATGTTAAAATAATATGCAAAATTGTAAATCGATAGCTACAAAAATAAAATTCCACTCATTTAAGACTTTCGTTCTCTACAAATACATGATTAACACCTTTGGGAGGTGTCAAACTTTACTTTCCAGGTTTGAAATTGCTCCAATTGTCTTTTAAAGATGACACTCTTTAAGAGACTGAATAAAATTTGAAATTATGTTCTTTGAACTGTTGCAATAATATTCATTCAAAAATAGATATCATTACTAAAAAATTGTCTGTACTCTGCATACATTATTATATCTTATGTGAGCAGCAAGCAACATCATCAGTTATGTCGATGGTGTTTCCACAGGTGCGTTCACTTCCAAAATCACCAACTCCACTCGCTCCAAAATCAATCTGCTAACAGTTTGCGCAAATTTATACATGCCCCAAATAGCTTTAACAACCCCCATCGCGAGAATAACAGCCACGACCAAAATAGCAAAATTATCTCCTCTCCCACCCCCACGCCCACCTCCACTAGGTAATCGTATATTCAACGAAGGAAAAGGTCCCAACCACAACAACGAAAACAAAATCTGCAAGAATCCTATCACACCAACAAACACGAACCCAGATATTAGATGATTATAGTCAACTGTGAATATCTTTGCGAATGTCATCGCTTCTATAGGTATTTCTTCGTCATTGTCGTCATTGTTGTCGTCGTCGTCATATAATGGTACGGGACTGAATCCGTTAAAGTAGAGGAAAAATTTTGCGAAGAATCCACCAAGGAATACACAGCATGCAAACAATAATAATGTGACTATTTTCAAAACAACTAAATCGAGTAGATGAACGAAGAGTTAGATTATCCGGTGTTCTTCGAAATCTTGAGACATTTGGAATCTACGTACATTCATTAGTCGCATATTTTGCTATTGTGGTTCTTCGAAACGCGTATTGATATTTACACTCATCACACTGAAAGAAACTCGTCTTCTTTTGACTTCGTAATCTCCATCGATTTAAGCATTCAACATGCACATGCTAAAAATAACAGAGTCAATATTTACTAACGATTAGATCATATAACCATAGGGCTGTTGCCAAAACTAGATTAGGCTATTGCTGGAAAATATAGTTTAAAAACTTAATATTTTTGCATAGCCGAATCAATAGTTCTTCATCCAAGATAGTTTTGGTAACAGCCTCAAAATTTTAATACGAAATTATTAAAATTAGAAAATTCGCTTTACTCGAATAGTGCCTTTACACAAGCACGGAGAAATCAGGCGTCCTAACGTATCTTCATCTTCTGTTCCACCAAAACATATGCGACACATTTTGTCATTACTGCTATCACTATTTTCTGTTATTAATGTTTCATTAGTTGTAGTAGTTGTTGTCGTCGTTGTCGTTGTCATTATTGTTGGATCTGTGTCTGTTTCATTTGCCAATGTTTCAATGTTCTCTTCTACATTTTGTTGACTCCTTTCTCTATTGGAATTAGATTCCCCGGTGTTCCAATTACTACTAGAAATGGTTGTACATTCGGGATTTTCAATCAAATCTGTTCGCGCCTCAAGTTCATGTTCCTCGGATTCATTTCGTCCTGGTAATTTGAATGAGCTTGATTTGCCACACTCCGAATTTTCATTTTGTGCATTTACGTCACGTCGTGGTGTCGTGGTGGAACTATAAATAGTGGATCTTGTTGATTCTGCCTCTTTATTCATGATAGATCTGTTAAATGCGTTGGAATATTCGAGACGAGAGTTTGAACTGTTAATTTCATAATGGTGAATGAATGATACCGATATATATCTCGGCAATCACAAATCCTTTCATGCAAAATTTGAAATTCTAAAGCCGGCACAATACTTTCATATGAATGTGTGCACAAGATGTGTGCACCTATTTTTTATAGTAAACCCTTCGATATAGACTAATTAAAACTCTTGATATGGTAAATTGAGCTCAAAAACGGCCCTCAATCTCAATATACTAATAGTCCGAATGCCTTTTACTACAAGCTTTGCACATTATCAACACAAGATTGTTTGCGTAATGTGCGCGCTCTTCACATACTGTTTTACATAGGTTACAATCGAGATCGAGAAAAACACGTCAAATTAAAAATTTACATGATCCTTGTTTACGCCAGAAAAAAATTTTTGTTTCATGGGACCTGCATCAAGTTTAGACACGAATAGATTCGGGTACCACTTATTTTACTATTTTTACACTCTTATTCAAACCTGTCAAACATATATTTGAAACTCACTTTCGTAATAGGACCTCTGATCTGAATTTTCATAAAACTTATTATCGTTATACGCACTGTTCACAACTCCATTTACATTCTGAAAAAACAACAACAAACTCTAACATACTCAAAACATTCAAACTTTTGAGCCGTCCAGAACAACAACAACAATAAAGTGAAACTGCAAGTCATACACGAGAAAAGAAATAAGCCTTATTTTTTGTACCGCAAAATATAAATCTATTCTATATGATTGATTCGACAAGTAGTCAAAGAACGCAGACAATAATGCCAAAGCCCGAACCGGCAACACGGGCATGGAAAGAGAAATTAGCAGCACCAGCTATTAAACACTTATTGGCTGGCGGTGTTGCTGGTGCGGTAAGTAGAACGGTGGTTAGTCCTCTGGAAAGGATGAAGATCTTATTTCAGGTATATGTTTGGTTTTTCTTAACTTTTTATGATTGCTTGCGAGTTAGTAATCAATAACCCAAAAAAAAAAAGGTACAAGGACCTCAACCAGCATCATATCAAGGAGTAGTCCCGACATTAGTAAAAATGTGGCGAGAAGAAGGACTGCTGGGGTTTTTGCGCGGTAACGGGACAAATGTGATACGAATTGTGCCATACAGCGCGACACAGTTCGCCGCATATGAAAAGTATAAACGCGTATGTATTTGAATTTTCCACTGAATTACTAATTTCATGGACAAATGAATAGGTTTGTGGCTGATTCATCTGATTAGATTTGCTCGATTTCTTGTCTTTTTTATTTTGGATAATTTTTAGTTGCTTTTGGAAGAAGGGAAGGAAGAGCTAGACGCGAAACGTCGCCTAACAGCTGGTGCGTTGGCAGGTGTCACTTCTGTGTCGTGTACGTATCCGCTCGATATTGTGAGAACGAGATTGTCGGTGCAATCGGCTACCATTGGTAATTCCGGGACGCAAAAAAAACTGCCTGGTATATTCATGACGATGAAGATAATTTATAAAACTGAAGGCGGCATATATGCATTATATCGTGGATTATCACCTACTTTGATGGTACTTTCTAAAATTACGCGATCAGACAAAAAAATTGTTTAACATAAATAATTTACACAATCATATATTTATTATTAGGGAGTTGCTCCGTACGTTGCATTAAATTTCCACTCATACGAAGTACTACGGAAATTTTTCACACCAGAGAACAAAAACTCACCGCCAGTGTTTCAGAAGCTGCTATGTGGTGCATTGGCCGGAACTTTTGCACAGACGATCACATATCCACTGGACGTGTTACGTCGACGTATGCAAGTCACTGGGATGAAGGCTGTTGGATATAATTATAAAAACACATGGGACGCACTGACACAAGTCATCAACAAGGAAGGAATGCGGGGACTATATAAAGGCATGATACCAAATTATCTGAAAGTTGCACCCGCAATCAGCGTCAGCTTCGTAACGTACGAGGCATGTAAAGATTTCTTGGGGGTCTCATAGCCGAATCAGGCGACATCGAACGTGGACAAGTGAAAACATTGGCGTAATATAAAAATTACCTTTTTTACATATACTCGGATATAATTCCCATGCACATGATGAATGGATGATGGAATTTAAGTATGACATGATTGTCTGTTGATACCTTCTTACTATTATGCTGGGATTAATAACAGATGTAATTATTTATTTGTTATGATTACTACTACTTTTAATAATAATAATTATGATAATAATAATAATAACAATAATAATAATACTTATTATAATAATAGAGATCAATAATGATGATGATGATGGTGATGGTGATGGTGATAATGGTGATGTTTGTTATTGATGTTGTTGATGGTAATAATGATAATAATAAAATTATTATTATTATTATTATTGATCTAATGAGATAAATAATGAACTATTTTTTCTCTTAGTCTGAAAAATAATAGAATGTAGTTAGTATCTTTTTTCTTTTAATTATTTTCACTTTTTTATTACTTGTAAATAAAAAATTCTTTTGATACTGTTGAGTCGCTCGACTGACACATAATCTGTTACGATCGAATGATCCTTTTGATAACTCCCTGTATAGTCAAATGTTGAGGATGCCGATTTTTTTATTTTTTCGAAATGGATCTATTTTGTGCTCGAAAGGGACGAATTAAACACCACCTTACCTAATCAGGTGAATAAAAAAACTAATAAATACTCCCTTCCCCTTTCCTAGCCCCTTTTTAAAATTTCACAAATGACGACTGAAACTCCACCATTAACTGCATTATCCTTAACACATGTACAATTCGATGCATCCGATAAAATCGCATACTTGTTCGCATACATCACGTTAGCACCAATATTCATCGTTGTGGGCTACGTGACCACAATTTTGGCGAGACGTGAAATAACAACGATTAATATGTTTATTGGACAGATCGCTTGTGAAGCACTGAATGGCGTGTTAAAGTCTTTGATGAAAGAGAAGAGACCTACTGGTATTTTTTTTTGACTCTAGTAAGAATATATCAATATGATCCCAAAATATTTATTCGGGAACATATACATGTATAGATAAATTAGGTAAAGGTTATGGTATGCCATCTAATCATGCACAATTTATTGGATTCTTTACCATGTTTTCTGTATTATATTTATATCGAAGGTATGAAGCAGTAATGACATTTTTGGCATAGCACTTTACATTATACAAAAAATTTGATCATTTTTATTAAACAAATCTCAGAATTAAATTCCAACAGAATGCCTGGAAACACCTTATAGCATTGGGATTACTAGGATTCGCAGGTGCCGTTTCCTGTTCCAGGTAAGGATATAAGTTAAGTTTCTTCTTTTCATAATTATTGTCAAATTAATCTCTGTTCAAAATAGAGTATACTTGAACTATCACACCCCAAAGCAAGTACTGGTTGGCATTGCATTCGGCGCCACATTCGCCATCATGTGGTACTTTTTCATAGAACATATCCTTCGACCACGACAATTATTCAAGGTAATTGTTGATTCACCAATCGCAAAGTTTTTTTATTTGCGAGATTCGGCGAATATACAAGACGTTGTACGCTTTGAGTATCTGAATTGGGTTGCGTTTGAAAATGAGTTAAAGAAACGTGGTGAAAAGGATGATGGTGGGATGAAAATTGATTGATCTTTTGGTCTAAATAAATAAATAATAGAATACAATATGCGTGAAGGTAATGGGACAGCTAACTTTTTAGCTCTAACACCAAATCGAACCATTTTTCGCTCCCTTGCAAAATCAAAATGTTTCAGACAAAAAATCATTAATATAGAAAATAGAGATACAGTGAATCAAAAAACTAAACTTACCATGTTGAATTTTACTTTCACCCTTGAAAACAAATCCATTCTTTTGATAAAGCTTTAATAAATACTCGTGACTTATCAACGCTATCCTCGCGTACCCTAACTTTCGACAATGCTCAATAAAACGCTGCAACAATGATGACGCAACGCCTCTACGACGAAACGAGTTGTCAACGCACACTGAATGTATGCACACAGTTTGTCCATCGGGTTCGTGGTGCCAGTCCATTGATGCCTCGGTTAGTACGGGTGCCGTTGTTAGTGTGGCTACTACGAACCCAATCATCTTTTGTTGAGAGTTGTCGGGGTTGGCCGGTAAATATGCACCCCAAAATAGTTCGGGAGCTACTTTTTTTCGGAAGAGGAGTTTTTCGAGGGAAGCTGCTTCATCGGGTGGATAACCTATATTAATTAGTGTGGATTTTTTTTTAAAATTTGGCTAAGTATTGAGAAATTCACGAACAAAGAAAAAGGAAAATATTTTACGCACCTTGAGTTTCCAGTTCAAATGCACGCGGAACGCCATTTAACGCGTCCACTATTTGGAATGTCAAAAGATCGATTATATTATCATCGGACATTTTTATTATTTGGGTGTGAAAATATTGTAACAGTTTTATCCATTCAGTGTACCCAACATGGTTAGATCGTGCATAATAATTTAACTAACGTGCATACAAACACACAAACATAAAGTCTTAAAATGACAACAATGGGATTATGATAGATGGTATCATATAGAAACATAGATGGCGAAAATTTGTACAACTAATTTGTTAAGGAAAGCGTAATAAAAGCATCATTGTAAAATTTTGATTTTTTTTATGTTCTACAACTCGATGATGAAGTTTTTCGAGCTAAATCGTTCAATGTTTAAATCTGACCCGAGAAAACGAAGTAATACATAACGATAAAACAAGGATTTTCACTACCAAAATAAAATTTCTACTGAGCATCGATCAATTGGAAAAATGCAGCCGTTATTACGAGAGCAGCATCAGCATCGCATCTAACTTTAACATTTCAATAATGAGATCAAAAACTCGAAATTCCATAACATTTCAAGTTTGATTGCATGTTCTATTGATCTGCCAATTGTGGAATAAATCCTTATGTGGGAACTCTCATTAACATGTATTATATGACGATATGATATCAACAAACAGATATGCACAAACTCTAACTCCCACGTTTTTCCTAAAATGTTTTTTCGCGAGAATTTTTTTTTTCTCAGTGGGCGTGACAAAGTCAAATATTTGGATGTTGCATTTTTGCAAGTGATGAGAAAATGTTAGAGGATGAGAATGTTGTCATCCCTCACGGATTTGAGCATTGTTGTTATTGATCGAAGCAAGTTTAGCGATCGTCAATAATAAGGTGAACAGTATTATGAATTGTACGTATGAACGGCGAAGAAATTTTAATTCATTGTATGCTCTAACGACCCATCCTTTTCTGATCCCGATCATATGGAGGAATGAATGATGTATTATGTATATAGAGGGATGACTATTAAAGGAAGCTGATGATAGAGATTTACTCAAATGTCCTTACAAAACATCTGTCAAAGATGTTTCTTTTTTAATAAAGTGCATTTATATAATAAAATTTACAAGGTCATATATATGAAGAAAGAAGTCTATGCTAGTAATACAAAATGCGAGGATCAAAAAAGTAGTCTAACGAAATAATAAATCGACCTATTCATGCTGTACCAATGGTAGTATACGTAGGTGGGGGTGGTAACTTCATTGCCTTTCTACTGCTAATGCCCGGCCCATAAATCGGTGACATTGAAAGTACACCATCATTATTATTATTATTATTATTATTATTACCACCGCCATTATTGGCATTATTAGTGTTGTTACAATTGTTAACCTTGCAGCTACCAACGTCAGCTCCAGTATCAATAAAGTCATTATTATTATTATTTTTATTTTTATTGTGGTTGTTATTGTTGGCGTTGTCGTTGTTATTCTTCTTGTTGCTGCCCATACCGATAGTATAAATAGGTGGAGGTGGTAATTTCATTGCCCTTCTGCTAATTCCCGGTCCATGAATCAGTGAAGGTACGCTATTATCATTACCACCACTATTGGTATTATTTGGATTATTATGGTCGTTAGTATCGACGTTACCAACACCAGCCCCGTTATCGATCAAGTCATTATTGTCAACACTTTGTGGTGACAAGCTATGACTGTTCACTAAAGAGTCTTCGTAGCTAGGAGGTGGATGGTTATGATGATATGGCATCATCAACGAACTAGTTGACGAGTGACGCTGGTGATGTGAACCACTTCTTACCAATCGTCCGTTAACCCAAAATTGTTTTGATGAACCACTTCGATTCCGCTTTTTATTGGTACTATTATTACTACTAATATTACTACTATTACTATTTATCATATCCGATATGTCATCGTTAATCTTATTTGGATCTTTGTAATTAATACTCGATAGACTTAAACTACGTGCCAGCGCTCGTTTTGCCGTCTTTTGATACACCGGATCACAAGGACACAAATATGAATCGTTATCATATCTTGGTAAAGTCACATGCACACTTTCTGAACATCGACAAGAAAGTACTGTAATCGGCGCATCTATTTTCACTTCTAGCCGCTGATATGGTGCATCCAAGAGTGTGATAGTAATTGTGAATTTTAACAGATGCATAACTTTAATTGTTTCCGAAGTACAAGTTGGATGTAGAGGAGCAGTACACTTTGGTATGCAGAAATCGAATACTTTGTGATAATAAGTGTTTCCGAAATTGAAATTGGAATTGGTGATCGCTTTAATTTCTAAATGTTCTTGCTCTAATTCAATTGTTGCTCCAGCATTCCTATTTGGTTTGTTCCATGGAAATCGATTTACGCCATCTTTTGAGTTCGAAGACGTCGACGTGGAAGAACTTGCGACATTAATATCACTACTGGCACTACTAGTACTACCTCCTTGATCATCTCCATGATTGGATGAACTTCCGTTACTATCACGTCTTACTAGCGAAGGTTCATCTTCTCTGGGACCTAATTCTACTAATCTTTTTTCGCCAAAATCTTCTAATCGTTCGGAAAACACAACTCGAGTTTCTGCATGTTTATTTCCTCGTGCACGATACAATGTTCTTTCTATTAATTGAACTCGTATTAAATGAATACGTAACTGATCCGATAATGGTACTATTTTAAAGTCCAAATCCTTTATACACCCACCAATTGGATACGCTTTTTGTTGTAACGATATCTCATATGCAAACATATCCTTTATATCACGTGCTATTGCTATTCCTCCCCCGGTGGTTTCATGATCCGGCATAGTTCGAATTATAATGATATTTCGTCTAGCATTCAGATTCGGTAATAGTGAGCTACTACGACCAACTGTTGCAGTTAATTTATAGCTTACAGTTCCTAATGGAACGTCTATTGTCTCTGGAAGTGTACCCGGTAAGAATAATGAGAATGAATACGTGTGCGTGCCAGCCTCGAACAATTGTGAGCTTGAATTATTATTATTATTATTGTTATTCGGCGAAGAATTATTCGAGGAATTTGATGGGGTTGTGATTGAAAAAATCTTGAATTTTGATGATGGAGAGATGGGTGAATTATTCTGGGATGTGATGGTTGATGCGGTAGGCTCAGATGAAACGGTTGTTTCAGTAATTTGGTTGAGGTATGACCATTGGTAAGAAACGATTTCTTGAATGTCTTGCAATTCATTTCGATTCTTACCGATCCCTTTGAAAAAAGTACGAGGAAAAATTTGAACGAGTTAAATATAATCTCCTTTTCACATTTCAATTTCGCAAACTCTTCTCAGGAATCTACCAAACGCGTCTTCTCTGTAGACAATAAAAAAAGAAAAAAAAAAATACCTTCCGGCCAAAAAGTTTTACTCTTTCCCACAAATCTCATGTCAATCTTTTTTATCTTTGTTGGCTTCGCCAGCGTTAACACCAACTCTCCCCTCAACATGCACCCGACCGCTTCTTGTGGTCCACCGCGAAAGAAAATTATAGGTTCCGATACATTTATTTCTAGGTTTGTTGATGTTTGAGGCGTGTTTTTATCCATTTTCGAAATGACAAAGAAACGGGGTAAATTATTTAATATAAAATGAATATGAATGAATTCGATGCTCCTAAATTGATATAATAATGTATTTTTGGTCTATTTTAAATGGCTGATTCAAATTATTTACGAGATTAGGGAAAAAAAATTCCCAAATTGAAAGTAAAAAGAAAAAAAGGAGAACGAATGGTAAGCAAGCGAAAGAGAGGAGGAGACCTTTCTACGAACGAACAAGGCCATAGAACGAAAATATTTATTTTACCATAGAAAATATAAAATATAAATAGTAATTGGTGGTTACATTTTTTTTTATAAATTCACGATAGTTATCATACATCAGCCCCATACATCCTTACATCTGCTACCTGTGATGACTAGGATTTTGGTGAATTCTGCGGGCGTCTGTGTTTCACAAGATTCCAACTTTAATGGTGTGATGGATCTAACCAATTTTTGTGTTCCGTTTGGCATTGTTTTTTTAAAATGTCTGTTCAAAATTTAGAAAATAAAGTTATATTAACTCATGGTTCCGGCTCTAGCGCAGAAGGTATACAATTATAATCTTTTCTTTATTTTGAATTGATTTTTTGATTCATCGATTAAATACAGTCAGATTCTCCTAAATGCATAGCATCAGAGCCACGGGACAAATTAAAAAAAATAATGCATTTAAATTGAGTAATTTTATAAGATTTCTATATACTTGGGACCGAGGAGAGATATGCATTTAGAGGAGACTGACTGCATTTGGTTTGGATATGATTAACCTTACATACGTATATGTACAGTTTATTTATTTGGAGCGACTGTGACTAGTTGGAAAGTTTCCGGTTTGGAAAGATTATTTTTGAGGTTTTTTAATTTAAGATCCTAATGTTCATTATGTGATAATAAATTCATGAATTAAAAAATAACATTAAAAAATTTAATAGTAAAAAAGCAATACTTGATGGAACTAAAGCAATACGTGGTGGAATCCCGTTAGGTATTTAAATAAACAGTAGCTGCTGCTCAATTATTACAAAAAAAATGAATTCCTTGCATAAAGATGTGCATGTTCAGTTTTTCCACAATTTGGAACTGCCAAAAATCCAAACGATGCCAGTGCAAAATTACCACAACACGGTATCGCACGTATTTCCACATGGGAAATTTTGAGCACGACGAGTGGTACTAGTGTTAGTAATGGGGATGAAGAAGTTACTGCGACATTTGGTATAAAATGATGCTTTAACGTTTTGATTTGAGCTTAGAATTAATTTCTAAATCAATTGAATTATGATAAATTTAATTACAAAGGGCTGACTGATTCGCAAATATCAAATAATCTTCGAGAAGCATGGCCGAAAAAATTTCAATTAATTTATACCGTTTCATTGACCGCTCGTACATTAAAAACGTCGCTCGAAGTGAAAAATGAGGATAATGAACCATTTAATTTTCATGTTCTTTTCCATACTTATTTCTCGGTTCCGGTAATTAAATCAAATTGGTGTCCAATTCTCGTTGAATGAATTTACATTTTTTTTCAACCTTTTAGGACATTTCAAAAGTATCCATACTTGGTCTCTCAAATCTCACATACACGGATAAAGTATTGAATGGAACTCGTGCACTTGAATCTCGCGAGAAAATAACAATCGATCAAGAGGTGGATCGAGTGTATGAGAATGTGGCGAGTGATGAGATTGTTGTTGATTTGCAAGAAGGAAAAGGCAATTTTCATGTGAAACCCTCGAATCTCCGAGATACAGGTAAATAATATATCAATATGAATTTATTGTGTTCTTTTATCTCCTTTAATTCTTTTTTCATGATTAGTCGTGTGGAATCCATGGATCGATAAATCACGAGGGATGTCTGATTTTGATGATGAAGAATATAAATTGATGGTTTGTGTGGAAACTGGCACAGTGGCTGATTATATTCCTCTAAGTCCGGGGCATAACTGGCAAGGAAGTCAGATTTTGTCTGTCGATATTTAATTTTCTTTAATTATTTAAGCGAGTAAAAATCCGGCCATCATGGTCATTAAAACCATTCACTATCTCATGATATGATCGCAATACAATAAATTATGCACGTTATGCGTGCATCGATATCAGTGCAAAAGGTAGACACGATTATGTTCACACCCCTATAATAAATTACCGAAAATACAAATCTACCATGTTCTCTCAAAATCCAGTGATCAAATTTATTACCACAAGATTCGTTTTTGGGATTTCCGGTAATATATTGTAGGGTGTGTATTGATCTCCGGTACATAAAGCGATGAACTTTACAATTTTCATCATAGAAGAGTTCTTAGTAAAAGTTCCATTTGCCAAAAGTTAATGAGTATCATCGCTCGGGTCATAAAATCACGTGAAAGGAAAATCGATCATGGAAAGTATTTCCTTATTTTAAAGCTGAGATATTGTTCTGGGCGGTTTGGATATCCTGAGTTGCAATTAGGTCACCCGGCTGGCCTGGAGATAATGTATTTTACGAAAAGAATTTGTTTACTAAGGGAAATTACTAGCTTAATTATTTGCGAGAAAAACATTGACTCGCTTTCAGGTTCGTTGCATCGCTTTATTTTTTTCGATTTCATTTACATATTCACGTAATTTCTATTCGTTACAAAATTCACGATCTTTTTAAATTTTGCCGTATAATCAATCGCCCCTAATAAAACTTGAATATTTATTTGTTGACTAAAATCACGTGTACGAAGATTTTGATATTATCGATTAGAGCAGTATAAAAAAGATATTGCTGCTGAGAATGCTAAACTTAAAGACAGAGTTGCAAAATTGGAACAGAAGCAGTTGCAACACAATAAAGAAAAGAGCAACTTTATTATTAAATTAGATAATATTGCTAAATATTCTTCAGTTAATAATGCTTTTAGACCTTATTATTATACTTATTATATATTTTTAGAAATACCTTTGCTTTTACTTCAATTCTATGCTCACTTTCAATATATATTCTCTATTAAAAAATATACATATTTTTCGATAATAACAAAATGATGACATTATTATATTATTATTATTATTTATTAAATAAAAGATGATTTATATAAAATATAGAATAATCATTGTCTCTGTATTTCTTCAACAAGCTTCCAGTTCCGTGCTTTTACATGAACTTCAAGCTCATGTTCTACACTCTGTTTCCATGCATTAATTGGTCCAAACACATTACGTTTCATTGATTGTTCGCATCTAGGACCACAACATTTCGCTTGCCGACATATATCGGGAAATGACGGACTTGTAATTTTTGGAGTGAAAGAGGAGGAAATACTTGTCGTTTCTGCAGCAGTTATTATCGTCGTTGTTGTTTCTGTTCCTGAATTTGAAGTAGAATCTAATTCTGGTTCATCTATCAGTGATGTTGATGTTTCATTTTTATTACTGGTTTCTGGTTCCTCTTCGTCGAAAATGTGTGTATTTGGTAATAAAGGTTCATTTATTTCACTATTACCTGAATGAATTTCAATTTCTTCTTCTTCTGCTGCTGCTGATGATGATGATGGAGATGGCGGTCTTGCTTCTGGTATTATTTCTTGAACCGTTTCTTGTTCTTCCTTTTCAATAATAGGTAATGATGATGACGATGTCACTTTTGTTGTCATTTGATTATTGATGGAAGTAATTAATGTGTTATCATGGTCATTATTAGCAGGTGTAGTTATTGATGGAGATGATGATGGATTTAATTGTGGTGACCATTCAATATAGTCCTGTAATATTTTATCAACCATCGACACAAATAAATCGACATCAACTTTCCGTTTCACATCACGTACGTAACACCACCAAGCAGAAGTGATCATCTTTTTCTTTATCGTGTCTTTCAAATGTTTCGTAAAATCAACAACATGCTGGTCTAATTTTACAAATTCCTCCATTTCTTCGGGACTAATTACAACTTTCTCCTCTTCGAGACACTTACGTGCCAATCCACGATCAGTCTCAACACAACTCTGTTCCTGGCACTCCCAATCATAAAACCTTCTTCCGAGAGATAACATTGGCCCCGCGAACCACGTTTCTTGTCCGTCGTTCCCAAACTTTGTGGAGATTGAGAGAACTGTAGATGATTGTGGCATGAACAGTGCGTTGGTCAATGCGTTGCCGTGTGACCCGATAAGTAATGAGAGATTTCGATACAAGAATGCGGACTCGATGAATTCGTCATCATTGTTATTGTCGGAACTGTGGTTGATTATTTGTGGTTGGTACCCACGATTTATGAGCGCATCTACCAACTCATCGAAATTCACTATTTGTTGTATGTCTTGTCGCTTAATCAGACCAACTCGAAAATCTTTGGGAATTGTGAAATTATATTTATAATTACTGCTGTTATTATCAATTGTTATACTGCCAGTGGTTAAACTTTGTTCTTTTTGTTTGTTTCTTTCCTTTTCTTCTTTTTCTTCTTGTTCTTTCTGTCTTTCAGCAAGTGCTTCGATATCTACTTTATAATGTCCAAAAATTTGCTCTTTCAACGTGACACCATCATCTCCTGCGACATTTCCATCACAAAATTTATGTGAACATCGATTACCCAAACCAACAATAGCACTCGTGAAGCATACTGGAACTGTTCCACCTGGTGCTAAAATCTGAAAAGCCGATGTTTTGTGAAATGGATCTAGTACAATATCACGACCTTTTGATGACAGGTAGCTCATGTCGAATCTAGACGGTGCACGATCTCCGTTCCACACGTCTGCGCGAAATAGCCAGGATTCGGGTGTAGCATTATAACTTCTCATTACGCTTTATTATTTATTAGATATTTATATTGTTTCAAGCAAATAATATGGTTTGTAGAGTAATCTTTTTTAGTTATGGGAGTTTCGACATTATTTTAAGACTGTTCATTTAAGTTAAAATTACCTCCACAACGGTAATATTCCATTAAACATCCAATGACCAAACTCGTATGGACTATCTAATCCGTACACAAATACTTTCTCGTCAACTAAAGAATAGCGCCGTGATGGGAATTGTGCAAATATACGTGGTGTCCAATCTCGATCTGATTCTTTGTCAGACGCCACAAGATTAACTATAGGTGGTCTAGGCTTTGAACTGTTTTGAACAAGAAATGCACCTATTTTAAATTTGGTAATTGAGTAAATATAATAAAGAAATAACGAATTCAGACAAAAAGTTAGTAAATCAGAACAAAGTTTTCCTATAAAGATACATACCGCGATCTCTATCCACACAGAAATTCGTAAATACACACATCCTCACTCGCTTATTTCCACTAAGATTCATCTGCCCATCAATCGTGGTATCTGTGCAATTCCATTCCGACACTAAAGTCGGTTTGTTCACCCCGTCGAAAATCAACTCCAAATTATCGAGTTCCGACCACGCGCGATCCAAATAAGAGTCACTGTCTTGTGAGATATACACAATGAAGTAGACCAGCGATAGACAAAAAAATAGGGTGAAGCAAGAAAGAGCGTGTCGCCCACCAATGAGACTTTGATTTGTACGGTTCATTCGGCTGCGGCGTCTCTTTTTGGTGGGGTCACCAGGAAACGTAACCTGGTTCACCATAGGATATTAAGTGTTTTTTTATTATTCGAGTTGTTGGGTATCTCTAGATTATTCTCTCGGTCGTTATTTAAGAATTGGTGTTTTTAACGTAATATCGACGGTAATAATGGCAAAAAATTTTTGATTCCGCTATTGTTACTGCTGTCCTTCGAACGTGCCCGTACATGAAGGTATGCAGTGTACAAACTTTATTTCTTGGTAAAGACTTTATTTATGTCTCTATGATGAACGAGCCACTAGACAGAAAACATTGAAAGTGCCCAGAAGGTGTGCGTGATCGACAAATTTTCATTTTAGAAACACCAATCAAAAAAGATGATTATCTTGTGCGAACATCAAAGAAGGAACCAAGCCAAAAAAGCCACTAGCCAAAAAAATATGATCAAAGAATCATTTACTTTTTATTACACTTACTAATATTAACGTTCTATTACTATAAATTAATAATTAAATAAATAAACATTCAAATTGATGTATAACGAACGATAAATTAAAAGTCAAAATCTGAGAGCATCATCATGGAAGGGTGAAATAACGATCACCTAATTTACAATAATGATAAAAAAGCCAAATCATTTATCAATTATTATTTTGTCAATAATTCTTAATATCGGTAAAATCTAACTTACCAAAATCTCCCAATCCAGGCACAATATACTTTTTCTCATCCAACCCCTGGTCAACACAGGCCGTCACAATCTTCAACTGAGAAAAGCGTTTGGTCACGGCCTCTATGCCTTCTGGAGCTGCTACTAGATTTAGGAAGAGTATTCGATCTTCGCGTACCCCATTTGCAATTAGAACATCGATAGCTTTTATTGCTGAACCGCCGGTCGCTGAGAAATTCACATTTTTTTTTGCTCAGTTTACTATATTAGTGATTGAACGAATTTATTTTTTGCATGATAAATTTTTTTAATAATTACCTAACATTGGATCTAATAACAGTACGTATCGTTTATCAATATCATTAGGTAATTTCGCATAATAAAGCTATCAAGCCAATATAAATTTGAGAAAGAAAATTTATAAATTAAAAAATCATAGCAAATATACCTTCGGTTTAGCAGTCTCTTCATCACGCTGAATTAAAATTTTTCCAATTCTGACACTCCTAGATCGTCCCGCATTTTTTATTTAAACATCACGTCAACAAATTAATTCCTCATTTAATCCAGCTTAAAGACATATATTCATTCTACCTCCCCATCTAAACATAATTCATCAAATATCCTATATTCGAAGAATTTACCTGCAACAGTCACGTAATCCTTGCTCCATGGATTCACCCGCACGCATAATTGATACACCACATATCTTGCCTATAAATTTAACGCCTTGATATTCAGTAGCTGTAAAATAATAAACAAAAAAATTATGGTCAGAAAAATCTTTCGAACGGATTTCTTACAGAAAAAATATAAAGCTTTCTTAACCTGTGGGCGTAACAACGGCTTTTTCTTCGACTGGTAAATGATTCAATCCTATTAACAATAATATTGTTAATATTAATAACTAATTGGACTATAAATCATAATTTGACTTTATTGATACCTTCTTCGACCAACAACCTAATAATTCGATCCGAATAAAAAATAAAATCACCACGTGGCGTAGCACGATTCCTAATAATAGTTAATAAAGCCTCAAGTTGGTTTGTTTGTGGCAAACGAATAACGTTCGGCGGTAACGAAGTTGGAGTAATAGCTTGTTTTGCGTTGCTACCCTAATAAAAAGTAACATTAATATTTTTACGGTTGTTATTTTCAATTAGTATAATAAGAGTGTGTTTAATATAACATTTAATTTTTAAAAAAGCTTCATATCAACCATTTGTTTAAGTTTTTCTTAGCTTTTTAAAGTATGAACACGCCGGTTTGTGTATTTTCTAAAGCTTTAAGTAGTAGATTTCAAACAATCAAACACAAATAAGGAAATGTCCTAAATTAATTTTTTTTTCCCACAAACATAACGCGCGTTTAAGTATAGACGCTGCAGGAGAACATAATATGCCATTTTTTAAAAATCGTGAGCTCAGATGATAACCTAAATTGAAATTCACCAGACATATTGATATACGACTCTCAGAGATTGAAATCGGGATAAGATAATAGAAATTCCGGATAACTTGTTCCAATCTTTATCCACATATAATGAATGTTCTAATGAATTTCTACTATAAATAATTTAGTTGCCGTTGGATTTTTGATAAAAATAAAGTTCTTTCTAATGTCATAAGTTATTTTCATTCGTCAATCAAAAAGAATAAACTTTCTGAAGATTTAAATGATAAATCTTCAATGAACGGTAAATCTTTAGCTAGCTTTCAACCTTCAAACTGAACTGGGACGATAAACCGAAGACGGATCTCGGTAAGATGAATGTGGCAATTAGCTCCGAGTAGCCTAGTATGAACCGGATTTATTCCGCCAATCGGTGAATTTTCTATTATGCAGGGTTCGTGTATATGTTAGTTAATTCCCTATCCCAATACGCATATGAACATATAACAAGAATCGGAAAATCACATGTATAATTTGATATCAGTAAAATTAAATTACAGTGATCGTCATAAGTAATGAGAATCGAAAGTGGCACAAACCGTACATAAAAAAACTTGACTGTGTATAGCACGTTTAATGATCAATGTGACATCTAAAAAAAACAATCTCAGTTTTCCCTCTTTTTTTTCATTATAAATAAAAGACATTCTAATTATTAATTAACAATAGACTGTAAGTCATCTTTGGAAATGTGGTGTCTGTAATGTCACAACTTTAGCAAAAAAAAGAAGTGTTTTTCTCTCTCTATAACATACAAATATGTCACTCAACTAAAAAAAAAAAATAATAAACTCAAGCCTATTTCTCATCTGGAACATATCACAATTTTAATTTCTCAAGATTGACATGCATTAGAAAGAATCATTACAAATGATAAATATCTTATCTGTACTAAAATCATCACAAAACTTTATTTCAGAATTAAAATATTCATGTGAATAATAAATCATGAGCTTAATAAGCTTGAATATTATTCAAAACTTTCAAAATCATGTCTTTGCTTTCAGAAAAATATTTTTTAGCTCAAGTGAAATAAATAAAAAAATATTGCAAAAAAACTGAAAAATTATATTTTAAATATTCTAAAATACTATAAATATATTTTATAAAGATAAAACAAGTATTTTACAGAAGAAAATGTCAAAATATTCAGAAAAAGTTCATATTTGAAGTATTTTTTTTGCATATGATATAATTGATTTTTATATATTTATCTAAAATATAAATATAATATTTTATCATAAAATTTTAACTAATCATCTTTTTGAAAATATATATAAAATTATAAAAGAATATTGAGTTTTTAATAAGATAATAATTTAAATATTAAATTATAAAAAAAAGTATTTATTTATTATTAGATTTTAAAGCTTCTTGAATAATTATCCTATAATTTAAATTTTAATTTGATAAAAAATTTTTAGATAATTATCAAGAAAAAAGAAAAATTAATTAGTATTAGTTATTAATATAAATTAATTAGAAAGAAATAAAAAAATACTTATATCTTAATATAATAAAGAGAATATTAAATTATATATAAAATAATTAAAAATAATAATAAAAAATAAATTATTAATATATATATATTTTTTTTAAATATTTATATTTGATTTATATTTTTATAAAATTATAAGTTAAATTTATAATTATAATAATAGTTCTTATTACTTATAAAAATATATGATAATTATAATATTATTATATTAAGTAAAATTTTAGATAAATAATAAAAATAATAAATATAATAAAAATCTTATTATATATCTTATCTGTTAATAAATAAAAAATATATTAGATTCATATATATAATACTAAAAAAAAAATAAATTTTCATATAATATTTATAGAAATAACTAATTTAAATAAGTTTAATAATATTTTTTAATATATATAATATATAAATTAGTATAAAAAAATTTATATCTCATTATAAAAATTAATAATTACTTCTAATAAAAATCATTCAAATAATTTTTTATTTTAAATAAAAAATAATCTAAATTAACTTTTTATATTATTTTAATTATTCTATTATATTTTAATTTAATAATAAATA